ACTGTACATATATAGACTATATACCTGAGCTATTTGATGAGGTATAAAGTGATTTGGTTAGTTCAAGTTACATAGCAACCTCGAAGCATGTGAGTATGTCCACCTGTGTTTGTGTATTTGTCTGCATGTGTTCGTATATGCACTGTACTTTTTAGTCCACTCTTACTATCTCACATGAAGACAAAAGCCTATCAACATAATCAGACTTGTGTTCACCTTGCACGTATCACCTGCATTTAAGAATATTATTTTTCGCATTAAGTATTGTTTCGAGGCTACCAGCAAATCAGTAATATGAGATGTATTCACCCAATTTCGTTTAAGGTGATGAAGGACTGGCAGAAGAAGAATTTACTCACAATGCTTGAGTAGAGCTGACGTTTTTATTGCATTTCACATAGCCTTGCTTTCCCAAAAGTTGTTCTCATTCCGGCTGAAGTGGACTGCAGTTTCGACCTCGCATCGGCCAGGCCTTTCTGCCATATCATATTCTTTGGTGGAATTTTCGATGAAGCAAACGTATATTTTTCTATAATAATCCACTACTATACTTTATTTTTCGCATTAAGTATTGTTTTGAGACTACCAGTAAATCAGTAATATGAAAATTTTTCTTCTACTAGTCCTTCATCACCTTAAACGAAATTGGATGAATACATCTCATATTAAGAATATTACCTCGGAAACATCGTCTTCAGCATCACTCTTAAAGTACTACCAAGTTGCGAAAACAAATTTAGACTACTTATATACTTCAAAAGGATACTGCGACCAAAATAGAGGCCACAACCTTTTGTTCTTCATATCTACATTTAACCATTTCACATTATATATATATATATATATATATATATGCATATATATATATATACAGCATTTAAGGATGAGCCGATGAGCTTTCTTGACATGCTGGCTTGAACCTGCTTTGATGATGTCTGTTATACAACGGACAAAAACACAGCATGTTTTCAGAAGTTGGTTGACCTCGTTGTCGCAACTTGGTCTTGTTGCCAAGGCGAGTTATTAGAACGCGCCATAGTAGTTTTCATGATTCCCAGCATCACACAGTGGACTTGGTACATTCTCAGACGTTTCGCCGCCATCGTAGTCGGCATCATCAGCGAGTTTTGCCACTCTCCGCACCAAGCTACGAACTCGTCAAAGAGACAACTGAAGTCAATCTCTCGACAAACGTTCTGCCGAGAAGGGTAAAGCTATCACTCCTCTTTCTGTCATTGTCTATCTATCTACTCTTTACCTTCTTATCCCACTGCCGCCACATCGCAACTTCTCACTTGTTTACATTCCAATCGTCAAAATGTGGCAAATCTAATATGGCCTCATGAGACCTGCTATTCACCCCGAACACCTCTCCTTTGATCGGCCAATCCGACTCGGGCCTCCTTTTATGATCTCCCTCATTGTCTT